GATTCATGGAACACCAGAAATCTGTTTCTGATTCGCTTTGTTCTGTTTTTTTTTTTTTAGAAAATTATTTTTATTTGTATTTGTGGTATCTTTTCGTTTTAGCCTAAGTACTTTACATGCCAATATTTCATATATATATTTATTTATATATACATGTATATATCATCTAACATATTTGCTTATGCCAAATGCGTATCTTAACTTATTTACACAACTAATTCCGTTTTATTTTGTTTTTGTTTTTTTACTTAACTTAAATCGGTATTTTACTCTTCATCTTCTACTTCTTCTTCTTCTCTTCCTCCTCCTCTACTTCTACTTCTGCTTCAGCTTCTTTAAGCAATTTTGTTTTTTGGGCCGTAAACATACAACTTCTTTCATTTCTGACGTCCGAAGAGGCGCGAGCGAGGGGAAATACACAAACACACATCAAACGAAGCGATGGCTGCGAAAAGCATTTAACTGTTTGCCTATTAGCTCAAACCTAAAATTTCTCAATATTTTCATTTGTCTTTTTGTTCCGTTTTTTTTTTCAATTTTTTTCTTCTTATTTTTGGCGGCGGATTACTTAACAAATTAGTCAACAAAGTTGTGCATAGAACAACGCCCGCTCCATAGACTTAGAGTTCCCAAATATATAACTAAAAAAAAAGTATTCTATGTGAATTCCATTAAGTATTTCTGTGTGCATGTGTGTGTGTGTGTGTGTGTGTGTTCGAGATTATTGAGTTAGAGTATTTTCCTAGCTGCCTTACAGCACCTTCTTTTGCTGTGCTGCATTTGTGGCTATGGCGGCATTCAGATTCTTGGCACAGCTATCGTTGTTGTTGTTATTGTTGTTTTTGTTAGTGATCTCTTTGGCATCAGCCTCGGCCTTGGCCGCCGCCTGCTTCTTCTTGTAGGACTTCTGATAGAAGTCATTGAAGAGGAAGTAGAAGAAGACGGCATTGGGCAGGGTGAAGCAGACGGACCATCTCGGATAGCCGCAGTCGGTGTACAGCAGCTGCGTTTGATGAATGAAAGCGCAGCAGAACTGGATCTATGGGATGATAGACACAATCAGATTAGCTACAGTTTACACATCAATCTTCATATATCTCTTACCATTTGCAGGTTGGTGATGTACTTCTTCCACCACAGGTACTTTTGCATCTTTGGTCCGAAGGCCGAGAGGAAGTAGTAGGAGTACATGATGATGTGCACAAAGGAGTTGATCCAGCCAATGAAGGTGCCATGGCCGCCCGGATAGTATTTGGAGGTGCCCCAGCTGATCATGGGCATGACTGTGTGATGGTAGACGTGCAGGAATGTCACCTGGCGATCGTTCTTGCGCAGCACAAAGAAGATCGTGTCCAGCAGCTCGGTGATCTTGGCCAGGTAGTAAACGTAGACGACGCGTGCCTCGCGGTACGCCTTGGGCGTACGCGACCAATCGACCGGCTGACAGCGCCAGCTATAATACTGCCAGATGACCACGCCCTCGTACACCATCCAGACGCTGAGCGCCACCTGGAAGAAGTTGTACACCTGCAGCGTGCGCTCCAGCTTGAAGGGTTTGCGGTCGCGCATAAAGCGCGGACCCCACGACAGCACAAAGTACAAATAGAAGCCCAGAATCGTTAGCAGGGGCAGTGGAGATTTGATCAGGAACCAGTCATTGGTGCGGGGATCTACAGCGATAATCAGATTGATGATATACACACACATACACATTATATATGTAGTGCTGCTCACCTGCCAGCTCGATGAACAGAAAGTTCCAATAGTCCGTTTGTGTTGCATTGACGGCCGCCATTTTTAAATTCGTTTTATTGACTTCCTCTGCTGGTTGTTGTCGTTCTATCGTTGTTGTTGTTGGTGTCTTTGAAGATGCTGTTTGTTTGTGCGAAATTTAAAAATCTGCTAAGCGCTCGAAGCGAACGTGTTTTCGTCCAGTGTTCTGCACGGCGCGTATTTCAAATTAAAAGTAAAGAATAATAAAAATTCAAAAAACAATTTAGAAAGAGTTTGGCTTTGTTGCTATCAAGTTCATAAATATTTTAAGTTATGTTAATGGACAACAAAAAATGAAGAAGCAATCGTAGCTGAAACAATAGCAACACCAGCGACCAGTTGGTCTAACTAGATATTCGGTGCTGTGCTGCTGTTGCCGAGCCAGCATGACTTGGCCAAAAAAAAAAACAAAAAAAGAAAAAAAAAAAAACAATAATAATCACTCTCTTCTTCTCTTGTGGCAATGCAAATTGAGATACATTGACAGAGCCACCCAGCTGGATGCTGTGTGATGTCAACGCTTTGGGCGTGTCTATCAAAGAAACGCAATTCTTTTATTTTATTACTATTTATTATTATTATTTTTTGTTTTTCTTTTTTTGCCACAACAAATTGCCGAAAAATCAGACTGGGCTGCTGAAAGCTGTCGCCGTTTGCTTTGAACTGTTGTTGTTGTAATGCTGTGTATATATATGTGTGTATGTGTGTGTGTGTGTGTGTTGCTATGCAATGCAAAATTATCATGTAACCGGAGTAAGAGTAAATTATATTCATTATTATGAATTAAACAAGCGTAGAAAACAAATTGCTTCACAAGATCAACAAGTAATTGGGTGACGCAGCAACAACAACAATAATAATAACAAATATTTTTTCATTTTCTGTTGGCTATCTAGAGACCGCCATGCTCACGTGTGCACACAGTGGCACGAAGCAGCAGCGAAACAGCAGCGAAACAGCTGTTAAACATAATTATCAACAGCAGCAGCAGCAGCAGCAGCAGCAACAACAAATGTTAATAATAACTGTTCACTATGTTAGCTGCATTAAGTGGCTAGTTGAACTCCACAAAGGCCACGAAAGTCGTCGTCAAGCGGTTATAAAGTGGCTTTTTGGCTTTTCGGCGTCTGCGGCGCTTGGCTCAGTTCCGTGGTCAGTTTTTTTCACACCAATATTCTGAACTGCTCCGTCATAGAGTTCGATCAATATATACATATGAACATACATATATACATATGTATATCTATAAACATTGAAGGGCAATGTTGGCTAACAAGCCATAAGCCATAAGCCATAAGCATCGACTGGTTTGCTTTTGCTTTTGGCTTGGCTCATTTCCTGCACTTGTTTGCTGTTGTTGCTGCAACAATTAACGCAGAACGAACCAGAAAATGAGCCGCGACCTAGCCAACAGATGGAAGGTGCTAAAAGGCAACTAAAGTCAAAACAAAAAATGACCAAAAAACTATGCCCGCCTCGCACACAGAATCGGGTTTTCAAATTATCAATTTTGAAAACTGCCAAAAGTCAAATAAACAAATTGACGCGCAAATGAACCATCAAATTTGCGCTTGGCTAATGAACATATGATGCCGCAGAGACCTCGGTTTTTTCCTCTTCTCGGCTTGCTCGCTTTTCTGGAAGCACTTTGGTCAGCTTGGGGCTCCATTCTAAGCAGCTGCTGCTGGAAGACTTTGCATAAATCGCATTTCGCTGCGCTCAGCGTGGAGAGATTTGTGGATTCGCCGCATTTCCACATGGCTAGCCATTTGTCAAAATGGGCTTGGGCTGAGCTTGGGCTTGGGCTTGGGCTTGGGCTTGGGCAGGCAGCAGTTGCTTCGGCGTCTGCATCGGCGTCGGCGTCTGCGTCTGCTCTTCTTTGGCCCTGAGCTGAGAGCTGAGACTAAGGTGAGCAGCAAATTGTGTCAACAATTGTTAACAAACATTTCGTAAGAACCATGCGTCACATATTTAACTTAATTAGTTGGAGGTTCAACTAAAAGTTGAATGGACCTTGGCGTCAACCTATTGACACGCGTATTCCGTATATTTTGCATATGATTTGCATAATTATTAACGCAAAGCCTAACTTGTGTTTCTTACACTCTCTCATATATATATATATATATGAATATCTTTATGTATATACGCTATGCCTACGCTACAAACAAATCCTGTTTTCTTTTTATTTTTTGTAAGTTCTACACATGCGCCACGTTCCTGAATAGAAATTTGAATATGTCTCAATGTTGATTGATTAACAAATGCTGTTCATTAGACCATTTTAGAATTCACACTTCATAAGCCAAATGTGACTTAGCACGCATTCAAAATGTTTCAACCCGTGGGGAATCGACTCTGGAGCCACTTCTTTAAACATTGGTCAATAAACTTTGGTCAAACAACTTTCCAGCTGCCCAGAGAATTCCTGCTAACACTCCCATAAATGGCACGACGGCTACTTGATAATTTCTACTGCTTCGCATGAATTCTATTAGACCTCAGATCTCTGATAAGCAAATCCTGAACAATCTGAATTCTTTAACATCGTAGACTCTTTAAGATCTCAATCTCTGAAGCTCTGGCATTTAACTGCTGTACCGCACGGCGGTACAATCTATCTTTAACTCTATATTAATACCATATTTAATATAACAAGTATACGCAGTGTATACGCAGATCGTATACAAAGAACTCAAAAGTCAATCCTAAGCAACATGAAGTAGATCACAAGCTCACCACACATATTACACGGCCGTTAAATGCCCAACAGCACGAATTCTAAAAGATTTTAACGCTTCTATCACACCACACTGCGGCTACTTGATAAATAAATTCTCTACAACGCTGTCTACGATATCTATCTATCTAATTGATTCAAGAACTAATTTAATTGTTAAAATAAAACAATTCCTTACATTTGAAAAAATCCTCTTCAGGAAAGAATTCTAAGGAATCTTTAACCTCTTCAGTCGTCCCACACTGCGGCTACTCAATTAATGAATCCTGAACAAGATAATTTCAATAGGATCTCCAGCTGTTATATTTATTATATCCTCTCCAAGGCGACCTCTAAACGATCTCATATTTTTCAACCATATTACACTGCGGCTCCTTGTTCAATGAATCCTGTTCCACACAACACATTATGCTTACAGCCTTTTTTTTTTTTTTGAGAAAATCCTCTTTACATTTGCATATATAGCAATTGTCTTTAAATGTTTGTATGTATGTTTCAGCACTGACAAATCCGAGCACAAGCACCTGTTGCAATCGTCTCGGTTGACAGTTGCCTTCTCCAAGACCCGTACACTTAATTTACAGCAACAACAACAGCAACAACAACAACAGTGACTGCTCTTAATGCTAACACCATGACAACTGTGATTTTGTTTTTCTTATTTTTATCTTCTTTTTTTTTTTAGATTATCTTTTTTCTTGCTTTGTGTTTTTGCTGTTTTGTTTATAATTATTGGTAATGTTGGTATATATATTAAGGGAGAGAGACCTCTGCTGGCATCCGCTACCCACGAGACTTGTACGCGTACTGAACTGCTACGCCGATTTGTGCGCTGCTATGTATAAAAATTTCGTCTATAGCTTTGAGATTTTTTGTTGTTTTCATTTTCAAAGTATTGCCGCTAGTTGTTTCTACTGGGCTAGCTGCTGCCAGTTGATGTTGCTGTTGCTGTTGCTGCCGCTGGCAGTTGCTGTCGCTGCTGTTGCTGCTGTTTATTGTTGTTGTTGATGTTGTTGTTGTCGAATCTGCTGCTTAAATGTTCTTTTGTGTCGCTTCATTTGCTTGGAAGCTGCGTTTCATTGCGTCGACTGGTCTCGTTTGACTTTTCTATTGATCACACCATCTATTGATCATCATCATCATCGTCATCGTCATCGCCATCATAATGACAAACAGCCTTTTGGCAAACAGCAACAGCAACAGCTCGACGGCTTTATTGCTGTATGTCTTCGCTGCCAGGTTTGCCGGTTATTCTATTTCAACTAGTTGTTGGCTGAATTTTAATTGATTTTGGCGCTTACGTTTGCAGCATTTGTATTATAATTAATGTTTACCATAATTGTTGTTATTGGCCAGCTGTGCAATATGGTATTGGCCCGAAAGAGAGCAAGCAGCAAGAACTCGGAAACATATTGCGGTACATAACCAGCAATACACAAGCATGCATATATATATAAATGTATTGAGAAAGAGAGTGAGAGAGATGGAGAGGTAAGGAGAGGGAGGAAGTAATAGAGGGCAGGTGATTCCAAAATTAAGGTTTAGATTTTAGATTTTAGGTACTAGTTAAGCTTGAGTCTCCTATTTCACTTTTTTTTTTTTAACTCCCAATTGTTTTGTAGGTTTTATGGTTTTTCTTCTTAAACTCCTCCAGTTAGGGTGAGGAAATAGAGCATAAAAAAACTAAAAGAAAAATCTGATATCTTGATGCGTTCAAGGCTAGCCATTGAGTTCCGTCGATTGAGACTCCATTCAAGGAGACACTTGACCGGGTAAAATACAAATAAAAAACGAAAAACGAAACCAGTCGCAATATTATTATATCATTTTGATAATTTACATATGAATTCTTGGGGCCCAGGGGGCAATTCTTGAGCCGATCGCAATGTTATTTCCGGGTCGTTTCACTTCTCGTTGTTGTTATCTAGCTGAGGCTGGGGTCACTCAGAGTTGAAAATATGCTTAACTGTGTCACCGGCATATTGAACTTGACCCTGCCTGACCGACACCAAAGGTGAGGCGATCTTTGCATTTATTTTTCTTTGGTCGCACAGCTCGTCCAGTTTGGCTTGAACTGGTCAATGGTGGCTGTGGGCCAAGATTAACTGATTTGTGATAGCTGAGCCTGCTGGGCATGATAACAGCTGATGCGCTCGCCTATCAATCATTTATCCTCAGTCAAACAGAAGACACTATTCAGCGCTGTCTTCCGGTCATCCGATCATTTCATTTGATTTGATTTGTCGCTGCCTTTTGTTTGTCGGCTATCTCGCATAACTTTAATGGTATGCAAAGGTTTGTCGATTTGATGTTACCACCGGATTGATGAGGCGACCGCTGTGAGGGCCCCGCGAGACACGAGCCGTTTGCAGGTTATGCAAATTTTCTTCCGCAACCATTTACATACGAAAAAGAAACCGTTAACAATTATTATTGGTTATTAATTAATAATTGCGATTCTTATAGCAAAAAGAAAACAAAAAGTAATTAAAAACAAAAAACAACGAAAAAACCAAAAGCACAGTCGCAATTAAATGTACATGTTTCTGTGCCTCTTTGTTTGTCGATGATAGTTTTTTTGTTGCTCAGTTCCAAATTTGAGAGTGCCAAGTTCCTAGTAATTAAAAAGCATTTATATATACAAATGGATATATTTTTTTTATACAAATTGTTATTCATTACCTATGGGCTTTCATTCAAGATATACATCTCATGCCTTTACAAACTACTTAACTTAGCTGTTAATACTTAAACACTTCATGATTTAAGTGTTACATTAATTAATTACTTAATTACAATAATTAAAATTTGTTATGGCTTGCAAGGCAGGCCGTTGAGCATTTTAATTTGCAATAAAAAGCTTATTGTTTCGTTTGATTGCGGTTGTAAACAGTTTCTTTAGCTGTGCAGCATTGTTAGCGCCATCTACAGTTCGTTGCTTTACAGCTTGGCTTGAAAGCTTCTGCCAATGTGACCAACTACTCTTGTTTAAAGTTAAGCGCGGCTTTGTATTCGGTTTCGTTGCTTATGCTAACGCTTTGAAGCTCACTAGTCGAAATTATATTATTTTTTAAACTTTTGCAGTAGGAATGCAGCATATTTTGTAAGCTTTTTTTATTCTACTGAAACTTGTCGTCGGTGAATGGCCTTAGGTGTGAAGTCAGAAATCAAGGGATGACAGTGCTAAATTGCGCTGAGCTTGCTCATTGATGATTTAGGGCAAAGTGTATGTATGAATTGTGAAGCAATTATACTATGAGCAGTGAGGAAAAGTGGAAAGCTTGGCATTTCCCAAAGGCGTATTCAATATTTTGTATGTAGTGTGGTAGCTGAGGATCAAAAGCTTAGCTTGGCTATACTCTGATAATTCCGAGTCGGAATTTCCGACATGACCTTCAAATTAGCAGATCGATATTTGAGCCTAAAGACGTTAACCAACACAGGAGAAATAAAAAAAACTTAATTATTTTTTATTGCTCTCGTAGCCTAGTAATTGAGGTATAAAAAACTTGTTTATTGGTATAAAAAATGAATTAATTAAAATTGTTATAATTTCTAGCCCTTTAATGCCCTGTAACACCTCTGGTGGAGTCAACGTAAATTCCCCTAAACAACAACAAAGCTGTAAATTTTTAGTTGAAAAAAAGAAAGGGATTCCCTTAGATTTTAAGAAGTTGTTTATGAAAGCTTAACTGAGTTCGCCGAAAACCCATTTCAAAGGTCTAGACTGATTAAGTCAAAATGATGTGATGCGCAGAATTCAGATAAAGTTCTAGCATGATTTTTACTTGGCCTTGAACGCCCTTTTGTAGATCATCCAAACAGACGAGAATACCCTTTTCCATGTGCCCTACAATATTTTCATTAGCACATCTATTTGAATATGTAAGCGTGCGTATATATCCTAAGGTCAGTGTGCTACGTCGCGACGTTCCTACATTCTTATCATTAGCCCAGTTTAGTATCAAGAACAAGTGTGGCGCAAATCAAACGTGTTTCAGAGCACGGAAATGCCCAATGAACGTATCTATCAAATTATAACGCGCCGTTTAATAATTTAGCGATCCATCGATCGAGCTAGCCTCAGCACATTTGCGGCTAATCAAAATCAGCGAAATACCGTTGAGGCTCTGCGCGTGCCCTTGCCTAAAACTTGTTTTACGCATTGAAAAAAGAAAAAAGTGGAATATACTTCCGTTTCCTGATCGCGAGCAACTGCTAAAACGCCGATAAACCTACTTACAGTTAAGCAATTTTACTTATATGTATAGCAAACGTTTCGTTTCGTTTTCTCACTTAATTAATTGACGCTTAAATGTTTTCTTAATTCTAGTTGAATAACAGTTTGCTTTTTTTTTTTTTTACTGCTTTGCAAGAACTCAACTATGTCAAGTTCAAGCCACAATCGACGATATATTCTTCGTCGCGCTTACGTTTAATTATTACTCTGAGCATATTCAGATGGCTAACCAAAAATCTGTTCAAGTTCAGACGTCGAGTCGGGGGCAACTCAAATGAAATAAACTAAAAAAAAAAAATAAAATAATTATAAAATAAAAATAAATTACCAAGAACATTTCCAGTTTGTGGCCCAACTATGAGTTAAACGTCGTTTACGATTCTGTCTTCATTTCGAATCCAAAGTCGAGGAGATTTTTTTACACACATCGTATGCATGGTATTCTGAGTTTCTCTCTCTCTCCCTCTCTATCTGTCTCTTCTATCATATATAACTTGTCCGGTTGTTGCTCCGCCGTGACGCGACGCCGCTGTACTTTAGCTGGCCTCTAAGTGAGCGGGCTCAGGGGAGGCATACGTGGGGTACGTGCACAAAACTGACGTTGATTCAGACTGTGTGGCATTTGTAAGCGAACGCATATTTGGCCAACTGATTAGCGGATGGAGCCCAGCACATGGCCAACACAAGACACTTGGGTACTTAGCCAAATAAGTGAGCGTCCAATGAGTTGGCCATCAATGGATTCGTATGGATTTAGTGTGGATTTTATGTGTATTTCGTGTGGATCTTGTGGATTTGGCCTTTCAAATAATGATGTACCTCTTCTGCTACTGATTCTTTGGCCCATGCCGTTTGCCTGAGGTGTTGCCCAACTAACTGCTCAGCTTGTGCTATCAATTAGTAACAAAATGTGTTTGTCTGCCTGCCAATAAATGAACATAAGCCAAAAGAGCTAACGATTTGCAGATGCTCTGTAAAATAAATGTATCTATTGTGAAGTGTTTTGAGAAACTTTTAACAATTTATTTTCAATTTTAGTTGTATTTCAACTATATGAATAAAAAATCTTATTTAAATTGAAAATAATATTAATCTTATATTCATATAAAAATCAGAATTATAACAATCATAATTAATATGACTCAAATATATCATATATATTAGTTTAATTGTCTTCGACATCTGATTCTTAACACCCTCTTTATAGTACTTCAAGAATACTTTCACCTAGACCTCACACAAAGCCATAAGTTTTATATAAATGCCTTAGCCATCAAAATAAATTGTTTACTTGGCGCGTTGTGACAAATTGTTGCTTTGTTTACTTTAAATTAAAAAATATTTGCACCGGCAGTTGAGAATACATTGTATTTTTATGTACATGCACACAATTACATGAAACTATTTCCCGATCTCAACATCTTGGTATACAAATTATTCAATCACTCCTTAATAAGTTAGTAGCAGCAGGAAGTACAATCAGAGCAGATACTAAAAAATAATTGTTACCTATGGGATAAACTAAACACTGTGCTATGCATTGGATTGTGGTTAAGGCTATTGCTATTTAACTAATAAAAAT